TTTGTTTAGTCGTTCTCTCTCCCTGTCTTTGTGTGTGTGTGCGTATTCCCCCTTTCTTTACGTCTGCTGATTATTGATTTTTGTTGCCATAGCAATAATAACATTTGCATATATTATAATAAGATTCATATAATCAGTAGTATATCATAATAGTGATAGTAATATTATGCTTTGTTGTTAATTTATTGTTATTTACATAATATGTTCATTTGGAATTTGATTTTTCTTCTAAAGTTTTTAATTCCATTCTAATTGCAAAATATGTGTATCATTTATATATTTGGTAATGATAAAGATATCTATGTTGTTAAATACTACTGATTAGAATATCAGTAGTTAAATAATGCCTAATTAAATTTGTCATTGTAACTTGAAACTAAGTCAGTGAATAATGTTAAATGTTTTCTTAAAGATTTCCATATGATCATTTAATTATTTTCTAACTATTTAAATTGATCCAGGTAATCATAGACGAAGTTTTACATCATTAGGTTAGTGTTTCATAAATTCGATTTTCAGCCATTATATCACATGCTCAGATCCGTTTTCCTACCTTCTATATGAATTTATTTTAACACATAAGTATAGGTTCAGGGAAGCACCAAATACATATGCGCCACACAAATCTCAATTGATTTGTGTGAGGGCTGTGATACTGCCCGGGTGCCCAAACCAAACCATGTGGTTTTCTTAAGGGGCCACAGCCCGAGCCTTTGACCTGAACGTCTGACCCACAAGGCAGTGGAGCATCGTGACGAGATGCATTCCCATGGTAGCCAGCCGGTGACCAACGATTGGTTCATACGCCATTTGTTCCTTCAGGATACTGGAGCCCATGTGCACCATTGGTTTGGGATCCGGTTAAAGCGCCAGACATTCGCTTTTTGTCCTCTCATTTTCGTAAACAACAACCCTGCCACGAGAAGGCAGTGAGTAGGACTTCCCTGGCAGAGGCTATATACGCATGGCCATGTGAGAGCATTTGGAGAGGGAGAGCGGACTCTCCTCACTCTCGGCCGTACCAGGGCATTTGGGGGCTCCTTCTATGAATGAATGAATAGTATTACTGATTTCCATACAGAGTGTGTTTCAGATCTAGTTTCACTAATTTGTACGTAGTGGGTGAAATAATGTTGATAATATAAACAAGGTAAAACTGGACACAACTCTGTTTTGAATCGCTATGACTAGTGGCATGTATTAGTTGTGTTTTTTTTTTATTTCCAATAATTAAGTTGATGATTGAAGTTTTGCCTTCACTTACTTCAGTTTGACTAGTCAGGTAGTATTATAAGCTGTAACCTGCAACATTTAATCCAAAAGATAATAGAGTAAATGAATTAAACTTTTATTTTATTTATTTAAACGAATAAACATTGGTATAATGAGGCACCACATAAATCATCCTATTTGTGTGTGTGTGGGGGGGCTGGGATACTGTTCGAGTGCCCAAACCGAAGTAGGTGGTTTCGTTAGGGGGCCACACACTGAACCTTCGACCTAAAGGTCTGCTCCATAAGGCAGTGGAGCAACGTCAGGAGATGCAGTCCCATGGTAGCCGGTGACCAACAATTGGTTCATACATCATTTGTTCCTTCAGGATACTGGAGCCCATGTGCACCATTTGTTTGAAATCAGGATTTTCCAACCCCCTTGATGGACTATCCGTTTCCATCAACCCGGTTAAAGCGCCGAACATTCGCTCTTTATCCTCTCAATTCCGTAAACAATACCACAGAGGCGAGAAGTCAGTGAGTAGGACTTCCTTGGTAGTGGTTGCATGCACGTGTCCATGTGAGAGCATTTCAAAAGATAGAGCTGACGAAAAGTTTTTGATAACTTTAATTAAAACAGTTAGTCCCTTTTGATAAATTTCGATAATGCAATGAGAAGACGAAGTTTATCAGAATTATGTGATATATTAGCGCAATACATTTCGAACAATCTGATCACACATCTACACTTGTTAAGAGCATTTATATATAAAAATAAAAGGTCAACTAGACAGGTTAAGGGGACACAAATAGTCTTATGTTGAAACGGAGACTTAAATTAGCCATCAACCGGATATTTTATGCAGCCCAACTTGTCATTATTGAAAAGACAAGGTCTATGTTGCACCAAAAGCCCAAACAGCACGTAAGCGATTGTGTCATATCCCATTGCGTCTATCAATTTACATTTATGTGTGGAAACACGTACATAGGGAGGAGCAATCGTAATTTGCAATAAAGGGTGGGTGAACACATACCAAAATGGTTGCAAAAACAAATGGATTCCAATGGTCAAATAAGATAACAGGATAGACAGATATCATCCTCCATTGCGAAACATTTGATTAAGGTCGACATCAAATCAGCAAATGTAGTGTTATCCAAAAACCTTCAAGGACGTATACTAAGATTTATTGAAGCCTTGACTATACGGAAACTAAACCCCCCTTTTAGTGTTCAAAAACAATTTGTCCTTACACTTAACCTACCCTGGTAATACTGATTTATTATCTAGAGTGGTAATCACATTTGTTTTTGTGTACTTTAATATATTTTTTTCCTTTGTTATGACTTACACTTAACCTGTCTAGTTGACCTTTTATTTTTATATATAAAGTATAGATGTGTGATCAAATTGTTCAAAATGTATTGCGCCAATATATCATCCTCATATAATTCTGCTAAACTTCATCTTATTGCATTATCGAACTTTAATTAAAGCAAAAACTTAATTACTGAATTCATTTTCATATGGACTGTTTTAATCTTTCCATTTGAAATCAAGAACTGTAACTAATCAGTTTCAAATAAGACAAAATACATGTGTTGTATTCCATTACTTGTCACATAAGTCAATCAATAAAAAGATTTATCCAATCAATATAAAACGGAATTATTCATTGTTTTGTTGGGTTTATTTGTTTATAAAATCTGATTATACATATATTTGTATGTATATATATCAATAGTTGAAATCATGAATCAATTGAAGCTAGACCACCATGGAAAACCTGGAAACACTGGACGGCCGTTTCGTCCTAGTATGGGACTCCTCAGCAGTGCGCATCCACGATCCCGCGAGATTCGAACCCAGGACCTATCAGTCCCGCGCCAGGCGCCTAACCAACTAGACCACTGAGCCGGCATTCAACAGTGTTAATGTCTAACTTCAACCAATCCACGAAGTTGCACCACCGTCACCATTGTCTTCAGTGAGCTGATATCTCACAACAGACCTGGTTGAACTCCACTGGTAACGGCTTCTCACTAGAACTCCAGGAGTATATATATATAAGTAGATTGATTGGTCAACTTGTTGAGTTTAGATCAGAATACAGTAGTCTTGAGTGCTGTTAGAAGTATGACGGCGGTTATCACTTAGTGGCTGCCCACACCGTGGAAGGGTCCTTTTGGAGGTACCTGAAAAGGAAATTGGATTAGAGGTGGTCATAGTAACCTGAGGGCGTGACCTCAGTGCCCAAGGGACAGCTGCTTCAGGTTGGTCACACACGACCTTTTTATGAGTAGTTTTTGTGTTAGCTCCATATTATTGAGACCTTACCGCCGGAGACGGATATTTGTGAGATAAGGCGAAGTGTGCATTTTAGGGTCGACCTTTCGTAACCCCACTCCTCCTTGTAGGAAGGCAGCATCGCTTTTATGCTCGTTATCTGAAGAAAACACCCTACTACCGCTACATCTCTGAACAGTCAGCAGTATGACTTCGCCCTCGGACCTTGGATTTGTTGCTTTTAGTCTTACCACTCTTCAACCGATCTGTCTGGAACGGTTGTTCCAGCCAGTGTAGCTCAGTTGCTTCATCACGATAGGTAAACCCGACCACCAAGTCAAGGTAGCAACAACTGTTGGGGAGACTCTTGGTGACATCGCTCAGAATCGATCACAAGGGCGTAGGTGCATACACTCTCTGTCTTCTCTTAAACTAAGAGATTAGAATCGCTTCATGTCTTTTTTTTTACGAACTAATTCTTTCTTCCTGTATTATATCCTTATACACAATCTTTCTTTTATATACTACTAACTTTGATGTGACTACTTCTATGAATCCGGTGTTCATCTTGTTGTGCTAATGAGGTATGGCAACTTGGACCGCTGCATATATATGCCTGGTCCTACGTTGCAGCTGACTGACTGATTTTAGATCCATCATTATGTATTGGTCAGGAATAGTTAAAACAAATGATTTTGAGTTATGGTAACATATATGTTAACAAACCGGCAATTCATTTGCTTACAAATATTCAATACTTGTACGAATACTGCAAATGAGTGTATAATTTTTACTGAAGATTTTATTTCAACTCTTATCTTTCACTTCATTTTTTTTTTTCATTCAACAAGTTAGAGTGCGCTATATCAAACTCATACATAGTACTCGTAGCAGGTGACTTTAATGCAGAGGTTAATAGATTAAACCAAACAGCAAGACATTTAAGTAGGTATTTTAGTATTCCGGCTCAACGAACAGATAATGGTGATTGTCTGATGCAAATGTGCTCAGACAATCGTTTATTTTTAGCAAACACTAATTTTAACAATAAGGAGAGATATCATCTAACATAGCGACCTCCTGCACCAAACCAACGATGAACTCAAACACACCATATTGCCATTAGTCATCGTTAGAGAGAGGGTCGATAGAAGATTGTCGCTCGTTTTGAAATACCTGTTTGAACTACGAGCATGTATTTGCTTGCGCCTCACTGGACCCAGAAAAATCACACTAAGAAGACTCATTAGAATTGAACTAAGTAATGAGAAAGCCAACTAATTCTTTCTTTCTGTACTTTATCCTTATATGCAATCTTGTTGTACTAATGAAGTTATGGTAAATTGGACCGATGGATATACTAGCCCACACATACAAAAAAATGTAGCTCTAACTGAAATAAACTTGTATTATTAGTACCCTGATTCGTTTACAATTGATTTCATCATGCTTCACTGTAATACTCTATTTACATTATACTTCTATTTCTATTTTAGAAGGGTCAATTCTTAGACAATTTCTTATCGGCTTATTTCTTATCATGTCATCCACAACCTATAAAAAATGATACTAATGATTTGGAAATGATAAAATTGAAATCTTTATCAGTTCATTCTACAAATGAAATGGGTATTTGCTCGACTTCTTTTAATCCATTATTCAATACTACTAATAATCATATAAGTAATAGTAATAACATGATTAGTGATACTACTTTTCATTTTTCAACAACTTCATCCATCAATGTATTACAGGATAGAAATCTTATACATAAATCAACTTATAATAATATTAAAATGGATACATATCCTGTAGAGAAACATATTGATTATTATAGTCGTTATGTATTAAATTCACCGCAACATAAACATCAAAGTCGTACAAGTTTAGATCATCGTTTACGTTCACGTATCTATTGGAATAATGCTGGATTAACGTATGAAAAACAAAAGGATACAATAAATCAGGTAAGTTTCGTATTTTATTCTTCATGTACAGATTATGAACTGATCTTAGTTAGACTACTATTGGAGACTTGGATGCATTGAACGATCATTTCGTCCTAGTATGTAACTCCTAAGAAGTGCATATCTACGAACCCTTATCCAGAAATTGAGGTTTGTTCTTTATGTATAAGGGAGATAGGGTACGTTTGACGATGTTGAATTCTCTGAGTTGAGATGGTTTAGTAGCCGAGCTTTCATCATTAATCTAGACATCATTCTCAGTATGCCTAATTCATGTATTATTCTGTACTCTACCTATGTTTATACAGAGTAATCACTAGTTTGAAGTCACAACTAATGTTATTAAAATTATTTGATCTCTGTTAATTTGTTTCCGTACTTTAAGAGATAACTTAGTAGTGACTGTGATCGGTTTACAAACTCATACCCATACTTATCTAATATCTTCTAACAGTATTACTGACTAAGTTGTATTATTATATCCAATCAATGGCTTGAAGACACTTATGATTGAATACATGCAATCTGCGAATGCAAATTTGTTTATTAAACTCCACTCTAATTTTTTGCTTTGAAAAATATTTTGTAATTAACATCATGAAACCGATCAATGTTAGACTACTACTGAATGCACACTGCTAAAGAGTTCTATACTAGGATCAAACGGTCGTCTAATTCTTCCAGATTTTCAATGGTGGTCTAACATTGATCGGTTTCATGATGTCAATTAAAACTCAACAATCTACACAACCCTATACTAATAAGTATGATGTGCTCATTAGTGACCATCTTCAACAGTTAATTCTTAGAGTTCTAGTGAGGAGCCGTGAGTAGTAGACTTTGCGTATGTCGGGTGTGAGACAGTTATCCAACGAAGACAATGAAGATGGTCCTGCAATATCTCAGACAGGTATGTTGTTGGATACTGGCTCAGTAGTATCAAACTTAGGCGTTCTCACGCGAGATCGAATGTCTTGACCTTGAGTCCTGTGTGCGGGATCGTGAATGCACACTGCTAAGGAATCTCATACTGTGATGAAACAATCGTCCAGTTATCCCAGATTTTCAATGTTGGTCTAACATTGATCGGTTCATAATCTCGATTTATTTATTTATTTGAACACATAAATATTGGCACAAAATGCCATCGAATACATATGCGCCACACAAGTCATTTGGTTTGTGTGTGGGCTATGATACTGCCCAGGTGCCCAGACCGAACCGCGTCGTTTTCTTAGGGGGCCACACTCAGAGCCTTTAACTTCAAGGTCTTAACTACAAGTCACTGGGATGACATTTGGAGATGCCGTCCCATAGTAACCGGTGACCAACTATTGGTTCGTCCGTCATCTGATTATTGTGCTCATGTGCACCCCCAAATGCCCTGGTACGGCCGAGAGTGGGGAGAGTCCGCTCACCCTCTCAAAATGCCCACACATGACCACGCGTATATAGCCTCTGCCAGGGAAGTCCTACTCACTGCCTTCTCGTGGCAGGGTTGTTGTTTACGAAAATGAGAGGACGAAAAGCGAATGTCCGGTGCTTTAACCGGATCCCAAATCAACAGTGCACATGGGCTCCAGTATCGTGAAGGAATAAATGGCGTATGAACCAATCGTTGGTTACCGGCTGGCTACCATGGGACTGCATATCCTTACGATGCTCCACTGCCTTGTGGATCAGATCTTCAGGTCGAAGGATCGGGGTGTGACCCCCTAAGAAAACCACGTGGTTTGGTTTGAGCACCCGGGCAGTATCACAGCCCTCACACTTATCAAATGAGATCTGTGTGGCGCATGTGTATTGGTGCCTCCTTGTATCAATATCTATGTGTTGAAATAAATAAAAAGTAAAACTGGTTTGAATTGAGTGTTTTCCAACTCCTTTATATGGATCCTCTATATTTACTAACCTGGTTGAAGCGCTGAACATTCTATTTTCTTCTTTTCAATGTTTTAGAGAATACCCCTATCACGAGTAGTCAGTGAGTAGGACTTCCTTGGTAGTGACTATATATACGTGGCCACATATGAGCATTTAGAAAGGGAGAACTGACTCTCTCCACCCTAGGCATTCAGGTTGTCGATTTCAACTCAACAATCTCCACAACCCCTATACTAATCAATATTTTATAGTTAACTATAGAATAATATTTTTTTCTTTTTATTATTTTATTTTTAGTCATCTAAATTATCAACAGTTCATTTAACAAGTTTATCTGAAATTATTTTATATTTTTTGAATAAAATTATTACATTATTATCAACATCATCTATTTTAAATGATAAGAAATTCTCTATTCATTCTAATCATTCAAAATTATCATCTAATGTTGAAATGATGATATCATCCTCATCAACATCATCAACATCAGCAGCATCATCAACAACTACAACAACAGCAGCAGCATCATCATCTTCATCTTCATCTGTTCAAATAATGAATTCATTACAAGAAATTAATATAGATAATATAAAATCATCAATTGATCCTTGGGATATTACTAATCCATGTTGGAATGAAGCATTTTTAAATGGTCCATCTTTATCAAATGTAATGACTCCTCCTCCTCCTCCTCCTCCTCCTCCTCCTCCTCCTACTACTACTACTACTACTACTACTACTACTACTACTAATAATAATAATAATAATAATAATAATAATAATAATAATAATTGTTCAAGAAGTCATCAGTCGTCGTCGCCGCCGTCATCATCATCATCTTCTACATCTTCTAAAACGAATCTAGATCCTATTCAATCATCGACTAGTATAAATTCACATTATTTACCAATAATATCTATCAGTTTCAATGATCTATATTATGCTATTTATGATTTATATTTATTTATTATAAAACAATGTCAATTTTATTTCTATTATTTTATATATAAAATAATTATTATTTTATTGATTTATTATAAATCATCTATTAATTATTGGTTAATGAATTATTTTATAACATCAATATATCAAATATTTTCTGATGATAATTTAGCTGAAATATTAAATAATATTAAAAGTAAGTTGAATTACTTTTCTCTTTTTTTTCTATTTTTCTTTTCTTTTTTCTTTTCTTTTCTTTTGTTTTTCTCTCCGGTCAAGACTTATCAATCTCGCAGTCTAACACTTAACCTTTAGACTACTAAACTGGTTATTTATTTATTTATTCATTTATTTGAACACATAAATATTGGTACAGGGGGGCACCAAATATATATGCGCCACACAGAACAATGATAATTTGAAGAGAAGGAGAAAAGAGAAAAAAAATGTAATGAACGTGGGGAATTATAAAAAGAAAAGAGAGAGAGAGAGAGAGAACAATGGTGGGGGAAACGGAAAGGTACAATCAGAAGAGATCTTTCAGTTAAGGAAGATACAACCACTTTTTACGAAGAAAGTAAAAGAAGGTTACAGCAGGATCGCCATTGGCTTCTATTCTGAGCCATATCTGATAACGTCTCTAGCTACTGCGTTACACCGTCTCTCGGACCCCAACCAGGGAGTCGTGAAGGACCAACAGAAGCTAGCCCTTTGCAGTTTTCTTTCATACCACGACACCATGTCATATATTGACCACCTCTCCGCTTTTTCCAACTAGTCCCAGAGTCGGCAAATAATGCACGACGAGAAATTCTCTGGGACGACATTCGTAGAACATGTCCATTCCACCAAAGTCGGTGTTTCAAGATGGTGACACCAATTTCATTATCATCTCTGTGCCCGAACACACGATGCCGAACCTCTGCATTACTAACATGGTGTTCCCACTGGATGTCAGCAATCCTTCGGGGACAACGATGATCGAACACAGAGAGTCGTCTAACATCCTCAACTCGGAGAGGCCAGGTTTCACAAGCATAAAGCAAAACTGCTCTCGCCGACGCGTTGTAGATCCGACCTTTTGCAGCCAGACTAACATCACGAAGGCGCCAAAGATGGCCCAGATTGGCATAAACCGCTCTGGCTTTCACTATACGTGCATTGATCTCATCACTCACGCCACCACCAGCACTTATGCAGCTACCTAGATACACGAACTTCTCGACTACTTCTATCTGCTCACCATCCAGAGTGAGTACAGGATTAGAATCCTGCCAGTCTTGTAGAAGTACTTTGCACCTTCGAAGTGCAAAGTACATACCATACCTACGGACATTGATTGCCAACTGATTAAGTGCGGATTGCATAGCTTGGGCATTCTCGCACAGTAAGACAATATCATCCACATACTCAATGTCGAGAAGTCTTTCTCCAAGCAACAGATCCACAACACCATTACTCACATCCATCAGAGCTGTTTCCAGAATGTCATCGATGGCAAAGTTGAAGAGGAATGGTGAGATTGGGCAACCCTGCCTAACTCCACTGCATGAATGGAATAGTGGAGAAAGGTGGTTGTATGCCCTCACTCTGCCTGAGGTGTTTGTGTATAGGGCTTTTAGGATGTTAATAAACTTCTCAGGCACACCCTTCTTCAATAGACAATCCCATAGAACAGTTCTGTCCAACGTATCGAAGGCAGCCCTGATATCACGAAACACTACGATTGTTGGCCTTTGATAAGTATGACGTTGTTCTAACATTTGACGGAGGGTGAAGATATGATCAATACATCCTCGACCAGAACGAAACCCAGCCTGCTCCTCGCGAGTCAATCCTTCTCGGGTTCTAAACAACCTACGAAGTATGACGGAAGCCAATAGCTTGGACACAATCGGAAGTAGACTTATCTCCCGATAGTTGTTACAGGAACAACGTGAACCCTTTTTAAAGATAGGGACAACTATCGACTCATTCCATGACGTTGGTACACTTTCTAGTTCCCAGACCTTTGTAAACAACGTCGTCAGTCCTTGCGGACTTCCGCCTCATTTGGTGGATCAATCGTCACCGGCCATGGAGAGCAGGACAGTCTGACCGATGTTGCCGGAGCAGCAGGCCAGTTGAACTGCCCTTCGAAGAATTCTGCCCATCGTCCAAGACGTCGATGGATGTTAGTGATTGGCGTTCCGTCATCCTCGCAGATTGTTTCGCTCACACCAGACTTCTTGCTGCCAGTGGCTCGGATGAGTTGGAAGAGCTTCCGGTAATTACCAGATGCAGCTGCTGCTTCCAACTCACTGGCACGCTCCGACCACCAGGTTTCTCGGTCCTTACGCAAGCTTTGCCCGATTTCATTACGTAACATCCTTCGTCTGAGGTCAAACTCACGGTCACCCGGAGTAGACCGACGTGCTCCAATCAGTTGTAAGGAACCAGAAGAAACCCAGTGCTTGTAAGCGGGACGTTTCGCAAACCCACAACAGACTGTACCCGCCATTTTCATGGCGTCATGCAATTGCAACCAATGCTCATCTATACTTTTCGGTGGAATGGTAGCTAGCCTAGAAGCTAGCTCGGTTCGGTACTTACTAGCAACAGAAGTTGCAGCCAGCTTGCTAACATCAATCCTTTGGTGGCGGTCACTTCGTTGTCCATTGAAAAGTAAGGTAAGATTGGCTCAGACCAGAGCATGATCAGATTCCAGATAGGTACTCCAAAAGGAGCGGCAGTCTTGTACACAACCACGCCAGCGGTAGCTGATCGCGATGTGATCAATCTGAGTCCAGGCTTGAGATGCAGAAGGAGGACGCCAGGTGGCACATCGGCGATGGCTGTGCCGAAAGTTAGTGCTAGCCAGAAACAGGTTGTGGTCTGTGCATAGTTGCAGTAGACGTTCCCCGTTATCTGTCCTGCGACCAACGAGTCCCCATCGGCCACCTAAACGACTCTCTTCTGTGCCTAGACGCCCGACCTGAGCATTCAAGTCTCCAGCTAGTACTACAATATCTGTCGAACGCACTTTCTGGAGAAGAACAGTTAACTGGTGGTAGAATTCATCGTTGATTGCATCCGGGCTGCAATCTGTCGGGGCATAGGTGGAGATGACGAAAAGACATCGTTTCTCACGCCGATTTCTTCTCACTTTGATGGAACTTTCTAATCTAACAGCACATAACCGACTGTTAATGGGGATCCAGTCGACTAGTGCCGCCTCAGCTCTTGCGCTTAGTGCGACACCAACGCCAGCAAGACCAGACGAAGATGCCACAGGGTCCCCGGATAAACGCACATAAAACAAGCTTTTTGAAGTGACAGATGGAGAGCGAACTTGTAGTACTTCACCAGAGTCTTGAATACGGGTCTCGGATAGACAACACACATCAATATTAAGACTTTCCAAAGACATAGCCAGTCCTATCTGTTGTCCGACCTGCATAAGTGTGCGAACGTTGAAGGTAGCCAGTTTGAATGGTGCACGCGGTTTCAGAAAAACTGCTTCAGTACTCATGTTCGGTAGTAACATACAATTTTCAACCAGGCAGTGACTCGGGAACGTTTAGATAAAGCTGAATTTTCACCATAGGTGAGCTGCTGTCTAGGTCGAAACGCATATATAAAGTAGGAATAAGAGAGGGTGAATAAATGACGTGGTAGAGTAATAATAATAATAATAATAATAATAATAATAGTACGAGTTATTTCAATGTTAATCAGATAGAAAGGAATATTTTCCATAAGCAAATTGTTCATCATAGTTTTAGTGAGTGGGCTGGGATGCTGCCCGGGTGCCATTTTCGTAAACAACAGTTATGCCACGAGAAGGCAGTGAGTAGGACTTCCCTGGGAGGGGCTGTATACGCGTGGCCGTGTGAGAGTATTTCGAGAAGGAGGGCGAACCCTTCCCGCTCTCGGCCATACCAGGGCATTTGGGGGCATCAAACTGGTATTGATTGGTGTTATTATTTAACTTTAATCAATTCATGTAATTAAGCAATTATCTTTCATTGTATTGTGGTAGATATCTATCTCCATCTGACATGGATTAACATCGCTGGTCGCGGCTTCTCACTAGAACTTCAAGAATTCTCTCGTGAAGCTAGTCACTAGTGTGTATATAGTAATTGTCAGTATGGAGTTTTTCAGATTATTAAGTTTTTGATTAAAGATCATGAATCGATTGATATTAGACTACTTTGGTATCATTCAGAGGTTATTCATTAAATATAGTCTAGTCAAGTTGATTTGTACAATATTATATTCAAGATTCCAAACAAATAATATTGTTCTCAACATTTTGTATATGAATTCAGCTGACGTTATCCTGGATTGATTGAAGTTAGACTTATACACTAGTGGTTGCCAGCTCAGTAGTTTAAAAGTTTAAAATTCACATATGAGATCGAAGGCCGTGAGTTTGATTCCCAGATATAGAGTCGTAGATATAAACTGCTAAGGAGTCCCATGCTGGGATGAAATGGAATTTCAATGTTTCAATACTTATGATAATTGTTTTGGTTTAGATCGGTTCCGTGGTTTTGACGTAATTATTCTGGGTACTTTTTCTTGCTTTATTTATATATGTTTTCTCTGACCCCGATCGTATCTGCTACCTTGACGTGATGGTCAGGCTTGCCTATCTTGACGACTGTGTTGATCGTGAGGTTCTATGGCAGTGTTTGTCACTGAAAGGAGTACCAAAGAAGTACATTAACCTTATAAAAGCTCTCTATTCAAACACAACTGGCCGCTCGCGTGAGAGCTTATGGTTAACTGTTATCAGAATTGATTACCTCATGTGATGTTCATCAGGGCTGTCCACTCTCTCCATTCTTGTTTAACTTTGTCGTTGACGTGCTTTTAGAGATAACACTTTCCTTATCTAAATTTCTAGGAGTTGAAGCTTTAGCAGGAGATTTACTTGTTGACTTAGAATATGCCGATGTCATAGTTCTATGTGGTGAAGACGCTAACAAAATGCAAACCCTTCTGACCACCGTAAGTAACAATGCAAGCATGTTCGGGATGCTTTTAGAGATAATACTTTACTCATCTATATTTCCAGGGATCGAACGTCTACCGGGAGATTCACTCGTTGACTTAGAATATGACGATGACATAGTTCTATTTGGTGAAGACGCTGACAAAATGCCGGGTCTTCTTATCACTATAAGCAACAATGCAAACATGTTCGGCATGCGATTCTCTCCTTCGAAATGCAAAATGTTGTTTCAGGATTGGGTTGCATCGATACCCGAACTAATGATAGGGAGTGAAGTAGTTGGGCGTGTCGACCGCTCCGCTCATCTTAGGAGTCTCATCAGCCTTTGTGGTCTGGTGTGTGACGAAATCTCAGCACAGATACAGAAGGCTCAACTAGCTTTTGCCAACTTGCGTCATTTGTGGCGTAGGCGAGATATCCGTCTACTAACCAAAGGATGTGTTTACTGCGCAGCAGTTCGTTCCATTCTGCTTCATGGCAGTGAAACATAGGCGGTAAGAGTAGAGGATATTCGTAGGTTACTAGTATTTGATCATAGGTTTCTTCGAAACATTGCTCGTGTATCGTAGGACCACCGAGTAAGTAATGTAGTTTTTAGGAAAGGGGTACTAGGTAAGGATGGCAAATCAATTGATGAAGTAGTGAAACCTCATCACTTGAGATGGCTTGAACATGTGTTACGTATGACCAACCACCGACGTCTGAACTTGAACTGATATACGTACATACATGCGAAGTTCTACATTACTGCTTATGATAAACTTTCATCAAATGTTTTTTCAACATCAAATACTGTTCATCAGAATTCTTCACTTTCACAATATAAGGCGCGCTACCACTTAGCTACTCGATATTTGATTGATTTCTTATAGGACTTAGATATCTACGGTTAATTGATAACTAAGCAATGATCATTACCATGTTTATGTAACAGTTTAATCACTGAATCACCACTCTATTTTCAACTAACTGAATATATACATATATATCATACATTAGTTAATTATCTATATATAAGAATAATTTTACATTTGACTTAATATTAACTAAACTTTTTTTTTCTTTTTGTTTATTTATCTTTTCTATTTTATTATTTAGCAAGTATATTCTTTCATTCTTCTAAAAAGTAAGTATGTTTATTACATAACATAAAATGTAACCTATTGACTTAATTGTTCTAAGATTACCTCATCACATACATTTTATTGAATAGTTTCTGCTATAACTTGTGACCTGTATGCTCTGTTAATGTATAACATGTAACGATGCCACCAATTAGAGAACAGTGAATTATTGATCGGACCAATAACGCATAAAACCCGTACGAGTAGTCTTGAGTCTTTACTGGTCCTGTTTCCTGCTTAATCCTGCCTGTTAAGTCCAGAACACAAATCTCAGTCTCCGTGATATGAATCATGTATTTCAAACATATTGGGTTTATATACACCAACCAAACAGACCATATTGTATCATAAAATAGGAAATAACATTTGTATATGATTTAGCCAAAAGTGTTTGTGAATATGGGAGACTGTACGTAATAGGCCACACATAACTCAATGAAAATAGTTCATAGGTAAAAATAAAGTTTATAATAAGAGGGACGCTAACATGAACAGTTTAGTTACATAACAATTATAAGATTAAAATATACGTATAATATTGGTTCATAAATGGATTCCAAAAGTAACCATTCATTATTCTCATTGAGATATAACAGTTTGGTCTTTTGTTTCAACATTACACACATATTTCAAGAGTAATACTGTAGGGAATAACAATACGAGTTCAGACAATCGAATGTATTTAAATCTTTTTAAAATCTAAGAACCATATAGTAAAACTTGTGACTTCAGGCAATATCGAAGCAATCCTCACAGTATAGACATATGCCAACTAAAGACTGGTCAAATTCATTCCTAAAATAACAATGGGAAAATACAAGTAAACATCAATACTAAGTGAACATACAGTAAATACTTAATTTACAAAATTACTTACGCCTATCACTCTATCCTTGGCCTTCCTTTCCAGTTCAATTCAATTTTTGTTCATTTTTCTCATATCTGTCTTCCTTTCTCGACGTAGTGTGTTATTTGGTCTTCCTTTTTTCCTTTGGCCTTGAGGATTCCATGTAAAGGTTTGCCTTGTGATGCAGTTGGGTGCTTTCATCAATATGTGTCCTATCCACTTTCAGTACTTCTTCCTCCGCTGGGATATGGTTTGTTCTCTCCGATAGTAGATTATCGCTGATAGTTTCTGTTTAACGGATTCGAAGTATTTTGTGTAGACAATTGTTAATAAACACTTCTATCTTCTGGATGATGGCTTTCGTGGTTTTCCAGGAATTTACAAAATATCAATGCATTATCTTAATCTTGACTGTTTCTTTTGCAAATATCAGTCCATTTTCTCGGATTTTATTGTTCCTGCATTTCCATAACAATTACTTTCCGTTCCCATTCTTTCCCTCTCGATCTCCTACTGAAGTACATTTTATTCCTGACTATCGTTATATATTACTTATGTGGATATCAGTAGCGCACACTAATACTACTGACATTTAGACGCATAGTATTCGACAAAGATGGTCAATCAGTTGATAAGATTGTTTATCTTCATCGATTAATATGATTTGGACAATCCTCTCCACTGATCCTGGGTTTGACCCCTGACAATGTGGTACACACTGATACAAAAGCATTTTACGTACATATTAATTGAAATAAATTGACAGAATCACGTATTACGGCTTTATTGAATTGTTTTATTGACTTTAAATTATACATTTCACAACTTCAACCATAGCGATAGTATCCTGTAAAGAATTTCTACAGCTAGGAAGAGTATTTACTGAATTTATAACTGAATAAGGTTCTTTGAAATTAATAACTATGATCGGTCTGTGCAGTTAACCCTGCACAGTTCAATTATTTCCACAAAACCTATAATCATAATTTACTCTATCGTTACTAATGTTGTTTGTTAGTTCCCGTAGTTCTAATGAGAAACCGTGATCATTGAAGTCCATCAATGCAGTAACCCAAAAATTATATTCAAAGATGATTGCACAATATCTCGAATCGATAAAAGTTAGCTATACAAATCATTAGATGCCAACTCTACAGATCACGTGCTCATTGCGAAACCGGAAGATTCTGGTTATGATTCAAAATAGGGTTTCGAATGTTCACTATCGAACGAAAGAACTGACCAATGATTCCTAGATTTTAATGATTTTTTTAACCACCATCATCAATCCATTATTTGTATAAAATGAATAAATTATGATTACCTTACTTCTTTATAGAATTGATATGGATAAGTCAGAACGTAAAGAAAAAGCACGTATTGCCATTGAAAAAGCAATTCTAAGTAAGTATTTATATTATGTATTGAGTATTACATGTTTTTCATTGTGTTATTTTGTTAAGGAAATTGTAATGACCACTTGACTTATTCTTTTGATTTCAATTAAGAAACCATTATAATTCTTGTGACACGAAACAACAACACAGTAGATGAATATAAGTGAAGATTCATTCAGACATTGTACTAGATCAGATATTTTCTGATATTCAAATTGCTGTATAGATTCAGTTTGAGGTTATTATTAAATGTGGCTGACTGAATTAACTCCCTCCATTATAACTGCCATTTATTGCCCTCAAACGCCTTGGCTTAGCCGACGACCCACTCTTCCTCTTGAAATGCTATCACATGGTCACGTATATAATACAACCGCTGTTAGGGTTAGGGTTGAGAGGAAAAAAACAAATCTCCGACGCATAAACCAGGTTAATGGTTGAGGAGGATCAATCTAGAGGAGTTGGAAAACCTTGATTCCAAATCAATCGTGCACATGGACTCCAGGATCCTAATGAAACCAATGGCATATGAACCTGATATTGATCATTGACTACCATCGGAATGCATCTCCTAACGTTACTCCACTGCCTTGTAGATCAAACCTCTAGATGGAAGACTCGGGGTTTGGCTCCTTAAGAAAACCTTCTGTTGCACTAATATATTCAATGCCTTATTATACTAATGTTTATATATGTTTAAATAAACAATCGCTATTGCTAACATTAATGAGTTTGACTGTCGTGTAAGCGGAATGGGTCCATTTTGATCTGTTCCTGTCGTGCATAATTGATTCCCGCGATCATTGGTCAGAATAACTACACATGCGATGTGAATATGTATATGAATGGTGCAAATGATCCACCAGGGTGCTTGGTACCTGTGTGGTTGCGTCACAAGATTGAGCTACACTATTTAGATTGTAGCGTTAAAGCCTATACGGTGTCTGGCTCTCCTGTTAAACGGGCTCGGGTTGTCACATGGAAGTCTGGACGGTATCTAGTTCTCCTGAAAATCGATGTAAAATTACCCTGGCCCACAAGGGTATATTATATAATAATATATTATATATGATTAGTATATTCTTCTCTCTCTATATATATATATATATTCTATTCTTTGATTATTATTATTATTATTAGATATAACTGGTCTTTCATATTTCACTGATTTACAATTAATACATGATCAAATCAATCAAATCTTTGATTGTTTTCAATATTCTAAATGGAATAAACAATTAACTTATATATTATTAGATCAATTCCTTTTAGAATTATTTCCGGAACTTCATTTAAATAATACAAATAATAATAATGATGATGATAATAATAATAATAATACTACTACTAATAGTAGTGCTACTACTACTCATACTACTAGTGCTACTACTAATAATAGTAATATAGATGCTTAGAGTATGAATTATCTTCTCATGATTATTATCTTATAGAATACATATATGAAATATTATTGTACAGAAATTATATTTGTGTAAAATCCTTTTTGTTTACTTTGGGATTATTATTATTATTATTATGTTATTGTTTTTAAGTGAATTGTCACACACACACACACACACAGAGATATGTACCACTCACCCACCCCACTCCACCCCCACCTCTACACCCACCCATATATACTTACATGCATTCATATACAGATAAACAATTGTATACAAATTTATGAATCGTCATATTATGCAAGAGTTATATTTATCATTTGAATTACATTCTTTTTTTTTATTGTACTTTACTGTATACTGTTTTGTTGTTGTTGTTGTTGTTGCTGTCGCTGTTGCTGGTGGTCTTATAAATCAGTTGCTTGTTTCATTCATTTGTTGTAATAAAGAAAGAAAGAAAGAAAACAATTGTATCCTTACAGAGTTATATTATTATTATTATTATTATTATTATTACAGATAATGTTTAAATGTACTATAAAGATAGATATGTATATTGTTGTTAATCTAATTTCATTGAATTAATCTCAATATAGAATTAGTAATAAACCATTGACATTGAATAACATATTATTGTATGATTTTGTTATATTTAGAAGGTTGTTTTCTTGATATACCGTGTATAACTGAGCCCCGACCGTTGTTGTTACCTTGACGTGGTGGTTGGGCTTACCTATCGTGATGAAGCAACTGAACTATACTGGCTGGAACAACTGTTCCTCAAGGTTTTACCATGCAAGACATGTCAGTTGAAGAACTGAAACCAACAAATCCATGGTCCGAAGGCGAAGTCGTACTGCTGACTGGACAGAGGCATGACAGCAGTAAGGTGTTTCCTTCAGACAACCAGCATCTGCAGCGATGCTGCCTTCCCACAAGGAGGGGTGGGGTTAGAAAAGGTCGACCCTAAAAATGCACACCTCGCCTTATCCCACGGATATCCGTCTCCGGCGGTAAGGTCTCAATAAGTACGGAGCTAACGCAAAACTACTCATAAAAAGGTCGTGGATGACTGACCTCAAGCAGCTGTCCCTTAGGTGCTGCGGTCACGGTCTCAGGTCACTAAGACCACCTATAATCCACTTCTCTCTTCAGGTACCTCTTGAAGAACCCTTCTACGGTGTGGGCAACCGGGAAGTGATAACCACCCTCATACCTCTAACAACACTCAAGACCACTGTATTCATAACTGAGCACTAGAACGTCAAAACTTTTCCATGTCTCAATGAGAAGACAGAAGACTAATGAAAGGTATATTATTCCAAACAGTGTCTTATGTATTTTCCGACACCTTTCCACAATAGGTACAGTATATTTCCGATTCGACATTCTATAACACGTGGTTCCCACTTCCTATTACCTTGATACGTTTTGACAAAGTACCTTTTTACCCATATCATTTCCCAATGTGATTTTTTTTTTGAAAATTAATATTCAGTTTTCTACCGGGGATTTTGTATAATTCAACATCATATCACGCTTGTATGTATAATTCTAGCTTTTGCACATATACATATTTGACTTCGTTGATAATTCGCTTGTAACCTTGATCGCCTTTTTGTGAAAGTTTGAGTGAATGTTTATTTATCACTTACTTTCCTTGTCATATGTCTTTAAGTTCTTTTCTATTTGACTTTAAAGATTGAGTCACACATTATAAAACTGATTAGGTAGATCTACCTGCGTTTCTCATTTTACTGTCTGTCTGGGTATATAAGTGTTCAGAGTAAATTCATTCGACTCAATTCGTATTCAACTTTTATTGCTGCCAATATTCAAATAGGAATTAACTTGATTAAAATATACGAAATAAAACCGAAAATTTATATTCATGGTTCATTTGCTGTTCGTTTCCTAATAAAGTCAATAGTTGTCATAATAAGACAGCACTTATCCACCTTCTATGCAGTAGTTTTTTTGGAAATACCTAGAATATTACTTACTTACTTACTTACGCCTGTTACTCCCAATGGAGCATAGGCCGCCGACTAGCATTTTCCAACCCACTCTATCCTGGGCCTTCCTTTCTAGTTCTATCTAATTCTTGTTCATTTATCTCATGTCTCTCTCCATTTCTCGATGTATTGTATTCTTTGGTCTTCCTCTCCTCCTTCGACCTTAAAGATTCCATGTGAGGACTAGTCTCGTGACGCAGTTGGCTGTTTTCCTCAATGTGTATCCTATCCACTTCCAGCGTTTCTTTCTGATTTGTTCTCTCCCACAGTAGGTTGTTGCTAATGGTGTCCGGCCAACGGATCCGAAGTATTTTGCGTAGACAAATAATATGAAATTTAGTTTCTCAGTGATATATTTAGTACAAAACTATACCGAAATAACCTTTGGCTAATCTGTAGGCAAAGATAAGGTAGATAATTCTTTTATTCAACATTATATTTGTGGTACACTATTGAATTCTCAGCATAAAGTATTTCAACAAGTTTCCTTTTCTTATATCTTGATCGATCCTGACGATAAATGTTGAGTGATGGCCAGTTAGATGCTAGGAGTTCGATAATCGACATCTGAATAATGTTCATTCGTTTCAATACATATTGCAAACCACCATGATGTCGCTGGTTGTACCTTTTTGTAATCCGTACAGCGAAAGGTTGTAAACTTTTCGTAAACGCTCCTGAATAGGTTGTGAGCTCAATAGACATAATAGTGTGTTAAAACAAACAAGAAAACAGATAACTTGACGAAATATCTAGATGGGAGGAACAGGTAGCCCAGATATTCAAGAAGGCCGCCACATCTAGTACACTCAAAGTAATACTGCAGCACTGAACTAGTGATAAGCCGCCAGCACGGAATAGAATTTGTTTCACAGTTTTAAATGAATGTTGATAATTACTTCCATTCCTATTTCTTTAAGTTCCCAACAGTTCTAGTAAATCAATCATGAAATAGTAGATAGGTTACTTACGTCAATAAAGAAAGTATAGGGATTCAACCTTCACTACTACAAATTGCTTTCTCTTCTCTTAGCATATATAAACGAGGCAGAAATTCTTATGAATGAATCACCTCAAAGTCATCTTTCCTGTATGAAACAAGAGCATATTCCTCTCAACCAGATTATTTAACGTAATGTTGTTGACTCTCTATCACTGGTATGCACCATCAATGATACGCAAGTTCTTTAGAGCCAGCAAAAAGCAACCAATAAATTCGAATTTGCAATTCCTCATTTAAACTGAAATCCATAAAGATTCATGAGTAACTGTCCAAGTAGCCGTATGACTACTGCAAGCGTGCAAGACATTTAGGATTGTATTGTATAATAAAGCGCCATTATGTCTAGTTTTACTTTTTCTATTGACCGCTCCTCAGTGACCTTAAAAATTTGCGAAACGTGCCCATCTAAATCAAGGATAATATACCACTGCTGTTACGAATCGAAAGAAGAATAATCTAAGGATAAAGGATAAATGCAGGACGATTAGCTTGGAACAAATAAACTCGCGGATTGGTAAATATAGAAAAGTAGAAAAACGTGGTCGTGGTATACAGCACTACAAATTACTGAATTCTTAATGATAATCGGAATCCATTTTATGTCAAAACAGTCAATTACATACATAAGAATGCTGCATTTCTCTGGACGAAGTTGATCAACTGCGCCAACTAATTGATGCGACTAATTTTCACTCGATAATGATAACCGAAACTGTTCTGAATTTCATCGAATTACAAATCAGGCGCTGACAGTGCTCGATATTGTGTTATTTCGTGGCAACAAGAAAACTGAAGGGAGAGGTTCGCCCTGACGTGCTTGCCTACTTCGTACGGTTGTTATTATAGACTCGAGAATCTGTTGATCTTGATTAATCTGAATGATGCTCAATGGTATTATTTGTCACATCAAGATGTTTTGCTGACGTTGAGCTTCAGCTTTATTTGCGGGGCCTAACAAATTTGTCTTACGGATAACAAGCATTGAAATACCAGAAGGTTGAATTCGTTAGCTTCCATGAATAGTCTTTAGCAGGTGGACTTAGCAGACTGTATTAAATTTGATTTTGACGCTTAGTTAAATTTGTTACTCTACAAATCACTCTGTCCCGTAAATAGTCCCCGAAAGTTATGTACAACCAAAAGCCACATAGAAACATATTTCTTAAATGTTGAAACTGGGAAAATCCAGTTCTACATGAGTGTGGTGTTTGAATAAACTAATGATTCCCTTGTACTTGTTGAATTCTTGATTTCGAATTCTAAATACAGTTCATTCGTTTGTGCTTATCTAGTACTTCTTGATCCGATTACGTTATTTCTGGGATTCTTAGTTAGTACTATAATTCAAATACTTCTAATTATCATAATGAGTTGAACAAACTAGAGGTCAACACAAAAAACTCAGTCAAGATAGAATAAATTACTGGATAAGGCTAATCTTCAGATTTGTTTGTAATTTGACAATCCTGTTCAGTGTTACTGCCACTTTTCTGCAAGCAAGGTATGGAGATTCACTCATCGGACCCTAGTAACCCTACAAACAACGATGGTAATGCCGCAGACAGTCAGTAGCTCAAGATACTCCAGCTTTCATTCATGAATTATATCAAAAAGGGCTGGAGATGCAAGTCAGTCAAATCCCAAGGATTTGACTGTAGCATCGTTGTTATGAACCAGAAACTGAATAAGTGAAATGAGAATATATTTCCTGATTTGGAAAAGGTTCGCAACGCTACACTGAGAGTGCCGGCTAAAATCAGGACATCCATTTTTGTCTACTGTTCCCAAACCTACTAAGCTAAAGACATATCTAACAAGCTCTCATGATCAGCGAAGGTCAAAGTAGTGAACCCTGAACTTACCGGCAAGTAGAAATAGTCTTGATACCAACGGTAATTTCAAGCCTAAAAACATCACGAAGTTAGGCAACTTTAGATTTCGTAGACAACATAATCGTATGATAAATGCACACATGACAAAATTGATTAACGTAATGTATGTGAATACAAAGAGGGAAAGAGAAGGAATTACATAAAGAGGAAGAGAGGAAAAGGCTGCTATACCGAGTGTATGCATGGGGGAATTTCATACATAGTTGAGCACAAACACATTCATTGATAGCATAAGGACACTAACTCTTAACGCATGATCTGTTAATCTAAAAACGTGCGGTGTAAGATTTTCACTGGACGTTGAATAATTAATACAAATTACCGAAGGTCAGCTGGAGAACATTGATCAAAACTGCATGACTCAGCTACGCAAGGGTGCTTATTGTAACTCCTCCATTTTCTCTGAATTACAATGAGAACTAGTGGAGTCCTTCAGATCTGTGTGCTAGAAACTCTTCTATTCTTATTTGACTTAAATAACCTGCTTTAGCAAGTGTCCTATACGTTACTCTTTTGGAAAAGTGCAATGTTTGAAACCAAGGCAGAAAAGATATCTGTTAGAACTAGAAGCTCAAGAAAGGAAATTTCTTCTTTCCCCTTT